GAGGAAAGAAAAGAAGATAGCAACGGAAGAGGAAAGATGATGGAGAGAATATGCTGACTCAGAGGTATATTTACAAAAATACTGGATGTACGTACATCCGGATCCGGATGTAGGATATAATTTACCGGGGTCTGGGGGGGGGGGGGGGGCTTAGAGTAATCTGGGTTGAAACTCAATCCATTGAGTTTCAAACCCATATGTGCCTAGCGGATTTTGAACTGATCTCCCACTAGGCACGGTAACCTCACAACCAGTTGCGCTGAAATGTTTGATTAGTTGATCTAGGATATAATTGCAGTTTCGAACTTATTGTAGTTTGGAATTGAAGAAAATTGATTAGTTGATTTGCGTTCAATAACTGCATTTTTAAATAAACATGTATCATCATCGTCGTCATCATCATCATCAACATCATCATTACTTCCTCCGTCCCGAATTGTAAGGCACTTTACGGTGTACGATGTTTGACCGACGATAAAGCAAACAATCCCTATCTGCACTCAAATTATTTTTCGAAAAAAAGAATTACATATTTAGAAACTACATTAAAAGCTTTACAAAGTCACAAAAAGCATAATCAAATTTGATAAAAAAATTTGATATATAAAGTAAGATTTTAAGAGTGATTTGTGTTGACCAAGTGAATAAGAAACATATCTTACAAAATGGGACTGAGGGAGTATTATTATTGTTATTATTATTGTTGTTGTTGTTGTTGTTATTGTTATATTATTATTATGATCATTATCATCATCATTACCATTATCATTATCATTATTATAATTATTATAATTATAATAATAATAATTATTATTATTATTATTATTATTATTATTATTATTATTATTATTATTATTATTATTATTATTATTATTATTATTATTATTATTATTATTATTATTATTATTATTATTATTATTATTATTATTATTATTATTATTATTATTATTATTATTATTATTATTATTATTATTATTATTATTATTATTATTATTATTATTATTATTATTATTATTATTATTATTATTATTATTATTATTATTATTATTATTATTATTATTATTATTATTATTATTATTATTATTATTATTATTATTATTATTATTATTATTATTATTATTATTATTATTATTATTATTATTATTATTATTATTATTATTATTATTATCATCATCATCATCATCATCATCATCATCATCATCATCATCATCATCATCATCATCATCATCATCATCATCATCATCATCATCATCATCATCATCATCATCATTAGTACTACTATTATTATGCATTTCAGTTTAGATAGAAAAGGGGTTTACCATTTTTTTTAAAGATTAGATCAAATTTAATTCTCCGCCCCTAGGCCATCAAACATACAAGACAGGCATGACAGTTGGTTTGACTGAGCCATTGAGAGTTTAACTCTATTTCTACCCCTCAACAGGAGCACTGTGTAAGACATGCATTTGTCGTTGTTTGGCGTCGGGAGTAGAAAAATGAAAATTCCCCCTCAAAATGTGCATCCTTGAGTAACCTAGTATTACACATTGTTCGGCGCCAGTAGGAAATAAAGATGTTCCTCCTCAAAAATTTCAAGTACTGTTGTTCAACATCGAGGAGAAATATTGAAAAGTACCCCTTAAAGTATGTTTTCATCGTTGTTTGGCACAAAGAGAAGTGAAAAAGAAAACACCCCCGCTCAAAATTTGCACTTGGCGTATGTAGGCTCTGAGGAGAAAATAAAGAAATACCTCTCAAAGTGTGCATTTGATGATGTTCTGCTCCGTGAGGTAGTATGCATACATATCATCTCCTTCTCAATGTGCATGGGTTGATTACTCAACAGCTCATTCATGCCCTTCATGTGTGTGGAGCAATCAATCAGATACCACACATGACGAACCTACAAAAAAGCTAATAAACCTTCGGTACCCATTTTAGGGTAATTCATTCCTCCATAGCATAAAACAAATTATGAAATGTTTGCTTTATTTTTATTCCCAAACCAGTCTTTAGAAACTCATTGCTGTTTTATTGCAGGAGAACTTTTAGCACATGTGATTATGTGAATGATGGAAGAGAACCGGAACGGAATCAAACAATTACGATTTGGTTTTGGCAGATCATAACCAGAATGGAACCAAATAATTACGATTTTGTTCAGTTTCTTACATTCAATTTAATTTTTTTTTGCAATTAGTTTTGATTTGGTTGGGATTCAATCTATTTATATTCAGACTTTAGTATTAATCAAATTCAGTCATTTAAAAATTAAAATCGACGCTTTTAATTTTTATTTACAAATGCCTTCTCAAAGTTTTCTCTCTCTAGGGCTTTTTAGCTGCTAGAGCCTTCTTCCGTCTTCGACCTGGTTGAAGGCCGCCCGCCCGCTTTAATCGACAAGCTTTAGCAATCTCCATCGACTACTCTTTCTTTTGCGATCTCCATCGACGGAGGTAAGGGCTGCGCGAATCAGAAGTTTTATTTAGATGGAGGACTTTGTCAATCAATATGGACTCATGACAATTGGAGAGGATAAGGAGGAGCTGGTTTTTGACGATGAGGAAGAGGAAGAGCAGTCAACAAACGAAGGTAAAGCAATTTTCCCGGTTGTTGGCATGATTTTTACGGATCGGAAGATCAAATTTCAGTTTTTCAAAGAATTTATAGCATCTCTATGGAGACCGGTCAATGGGGTTTCTATCAAAGAAATTAGTGATAAGAGGTATATCTTTACTTTTCATCATGTTCTAGATATGAGACGTGTTTTAGATGAGGGTCTATGGTTATTTGAGAGAAATCTTTTACTGCTTAAAGTAATCAAGGCAGAGGATATTCCTTCACATGTTAGTCTTTATGAGGCAGATTTTTGGGTACAAGTCCATAACGCTGCATATGGTTTTATGAATTTGGGTTCAGCAAGGCGTATTGGTAAATTATATTGGAAAATTTATTAGTTATGATGAACGCCGGTCTGATGAAAACTGAGAGACTTATATGAGAATTAAGGTCCGTATGGATGTTAGGAGACCTCTGAAAAGGGATCCAATCTGAAAAAGGTGGGCTTTAACCAATGGGTGGATTTTAAGAACGAAAAACTCCCTAATTTTTGCTTTGTGTGTGGAATTATTGGGCATTGTGATAAATTTTTCTCAATTGTGTTTGAGGGAGAAAATATCACTTTTGATAAAAACTATGGAGTGGAACTGCGTGCTGGGGGGTGACTAGCCCCACAGGGGGAAATAATTGTTTTATACTTTTATTGAAGGGTCATCTAGTTTTAGTATGTGAACTTCAGATAGACAGCACACAAACACGCAGGACTGGAAGGAAATTACTATAGGCTCATGGACTAGTGCTATCAAGGAAGGGATTTCGTTGAGCCTAGAGAAAGGGTCAGGAGAGCAGAAGCGCAGAAGAACATGGGAGGAAAACGAACAGGAAAACCCAACAGGTGAAGATATGGCAATGGATTAGCAAAAAAAAACGGGGAGGATGCGGACCTCAACCAATAGGTCCGCCAGTTTGCTCGAAGATATAGTTGTTCTCGGTTGGCGGACCGGTGAAGGTGTTCGTGAGAATAGAGAGGAACTTTTATTTTACTTCTTTTATTTTTGTTGTTTTATTTAAACAGACTGTTTTCTGCTTTGTTGCTGTTATTTTTTATTGTAAGGCTCTTGCATTAAGATGTGGTGAGTTTAGATCGACTTTAATCGTCTGTGGCTTAGGTTCGCCCATTAATGGATCAACGAGTTATGTTGCTTGTTTGAATGTGATTAACTCTAAGTCTGGTTTAATAGCTGACAGTTGTATGTGGTCTTTTACTCAGTTTACTCCTTTTCTGAATGCTAATGCTTTGATTTCCATATAAGCCCCCCTCTTCCAAAAAAAAAAACTCTATTTATATTCGATTTCCGATTTTCTACTTTTTAAACCGAGTCCTAACGTGAGAAGGAATATCTTATCTAAGTCCTAAAACTCTAAAGCTACGATTATTGCGGTCGTCTCCCTCTTTTCGTAGGGTTAGTTTTCCACCGCCTAAGCTCCGGCATAGGTTGGGCCGGCGTTCCATCGGCAAAGCTAGGAGAGCACGGCTCTGCTCGTGTTTGCTCCTTCTCTTCCTTTACAAGTTATCGTTTTTCTTTTCGGCTACGAGGGCTTTGTTTGGGGCGTCGCAAACCAGCGAGGCAGGGGAGCGAGGTTGGAGGCTATTTTGGTGCAAGGATGCAAATTGTTCGGGGCAGAGTCTGGGTTGGAGGGGGCTTGGTAGCGAAGAAGATGGCCGCTAGTGGCGATTTTTCTACGACTGCGGGACGGGGAGAATTGCACGAGGTTCGAGTATCCCAGATCTCGATCGACAATGAAAGATCAATTAGAGTGGTACCGATGGCACGACCTCCTCCAGAACCACCACCACGGGTTGATCGAGGTGCTAGAGCCCGAGAACGTTATTTTATTGTTTGTTTTTGTTGTTTTTCCACGTTCAGGCTGTTATGCTGTGTTTTTATTATTTCCGTTGCTGTAAGACTTTTGCATTAGGTTTGAGGGATGAGAGGTCTACGCTAATCGTCGTTGACTTTATTTTTCCCAAGTTAGGTCTAGCGAGTTATATTGCTTTGTCAAAGGTGATTAAGGGGGTGTTTGGAACTGATTCTGCTTTTACTTCTTTTTTAAAGCAGAAGCAGAATCAGAATCAGTTTTCAGAAGCTGGTACCCCCAGCTTCCAAAAAAAACTGATTCTGAGAGTAAATTAGAGCACCAGAAGTGCTTCTGGAATTTCACCCAAACACTTCAGCTTCTGCTTCTGCTCCCTGAAGGAGCAGAATCAGTTTTGAGAATCAGATCCAAACACCCCCTAAATCAGAGTCTCGGTTAAAGGCGAATGGTTACATGTGGTCCTTTTACGTTCATGTACCCTGCTGAATGTTATTTTAACACGATATAAGCACCTTACTATAAAAAAAAATGAGTCCTAATATTTTTATTAGTACGTGAAATTTGGGTTTGTTTCACATTTTTTTGTGAGTTGACCTTTGAGATGTCCGCAGTGGCTCAGTTTATCAAAAAATACGGTGTTTAATTTCTTTATCCAATGCCCCATTGAAATGCTGCTCCAAGAATCAGAGAAATTGAAGAACAGGCGAACCCAGCTAAAGATAGGGATGATGGATTGGTGGGTTTCCATGCCAAAGCTGGAACTTCACGCGCACCTTAATGGCTCTATCAGGAACTCCACTCTATTGTATGGTCGCTTTCATTCACCCCAAATTTTATTGCCTTTTTAATCGCTCTCTTTTGTTCCAATATTCCATCCTCGCATTCTTGCATGATTGATAGCTTTACATGGCAACTTCTGTTAGTTTGGTTTACATATTTGAATCTCCACTCAAAGAATTGAATGATATTACTCCATACTTGCTATCCAGGGTTCCAAAGACTGTTTCATAAGATTCTCTCTTCATTGTGGGCGATTAGTGTAAGAATCCTTGACTCTATTCGCGTAATGTTCATGTGATTTATGTCTATTTGCAGGGAGCTAGCCAAAGAATTGGGGGAGAAAGGGGTAATTGTTTTCTCAGATGTGGAACATGTTATACTCAAAAGTATGCACCCTCTATCTCCTATTTTTTTAATAATAACTAGGTCAATTTTGTTACTTCCTAAAAATGTAATCTTTTCAACAATTTATTCAGAAACATTTTGTTTTGATTCTCAGATGATCGTTCACTTTATGAAGTATTCAAAGTGTTTGACTTGATTCATGTTCTTACCACAAACCACAAGACTGTCACCAGAATTACCAAAGAGGTAGTTGAAGATTTTGCTGCAGAGAATGTTGTATACTTGGAGCTAAGGACAACTCCTAAGGTATTTTATAAAAAGACTTTGGTTGCCATCCTAAAAGATTAAACTTATAAGAGGTGTAGCCAAAATACTCGGAGACACTAAAAAGTTAATCTTTTATGTAGGCTAATTAAAAATCTTATATATAAGTTTGTATCTTGTATAAAGCAAAATGGCTCACTAAACTGTCTGCGCTTCTTTGTTATGAAGTTGCAGTCAGTCCATGCATTTTGGACGTGATTTTCACTATGGGTCATCCGGAAACGGTCTCTTTGTACTTTTGTCCAGGGGTAAGACTGCGTATATCCGACCCCCCCTTACCCCACCGTAGGTGGGAGCCTTTGCGGCACTGGGGTAATGATGAATGAATGAATGAATGAATGAATAAGTTTGTATCTTGATTCTTGAATTCTTGATATTCTTAATAGTAATATTTGGTGTGCAGAGCATTTAGAAACATAGATAAATTAAACCTCTTTTTAAAGTTCTTGACTGGATGCGGTTACTCAACTGAGTGATAATGAACATAATTGACCACACTAAAAGACGAGTGCTTTTCACAAACAATTAGCTAGTTCAACCAAGGTCTTATAAACATATTTTTCTCCCTTTAGAATTTTAAAGTGCAACTGGAACAATAATCTCCCCAAATGCAGAGAAATGATTCAAAAGGAATGACAAAAGCGTCCTACATGGAAGCAGTCCTGGAAGGATTAAAGGCCGTCAGCACAGTTGATGTTGATATTCTTCATGATTCAGATGTAAAAAGCCATCTTAATGCTCATACGCAATGTGGTGGTGGGATAAATGGAACACAAAGAAAGAAGATTTATGTTAGACTTCTTCTGAGTATAGATAGGCGTGAGACCACTGAAGCTGCTATGGAAACTGTATAATATTGGAATGAAAAATATTGGTTTTGTTAATATCTTTTATAGTACAGAGTGATTGTTTTCTGCTGGTGATGTTTGTTAGATTATTTGTTTGAAGGTTAAGCTTGCTATGGAGATGAGACATTTAGGGGTAGTGGGTATTGACCTCTCAGGCAATCCTGTTATTGGTGAATGGTAAGTTACTATTATTTGTAAGAGATTCTTTGCAAGCATTGTTGTTGAGGCCAATTTGGTAAGTAACTATTATCTGTTGTATACTGGGTTTGTGCCTTGTGGGTGCCGCTGTCTTGATCCATTTCACCATCCTTCAATTGTCCAACCTGACTTGGGTTGAGGGGAGTGTCTTGAGTACTTAACCTCTACAGTCTAGTATGTAAGTGTGAGGTATTTTGAGAACCCTTTTGAGCTAATTTAGGCCTAACTTAACAATTATATTTTGTATGTTCTATTATCCTTTCGAGAACCCTTGTAAGTGCGTACATCCGACCCCCCTTACCCCACCGTAGGTGGGAGCCTTTGCGGCACTGGGATAATGATAATGATGATGAATGATGTTCTATTATCAGTTTTCAAATTGCAATGACGAAATTATATGACTAAAGTAAAAATAATGAATAAATATTTTACTTTCAACACACATTTTCCATCATTTGCAATGGAGCCAAAGACTCACTATTTTTTGGCTTGGGAATATGATGGAATAAAGCAAAATGGCTTACTAAACTGTCTGCGCTTCTTTGTTATGAAGTAGCAGTCAGTCTATCCAATTTTTGACGCGATTTTCACTTTGGGTCATCCGGAAACAGTCTCTCTATACTTTAGTACAGGGGTAAGGCTGCGTACATCCGACCCCCCCTTTACCCCACCTACGGTGGGAGCCTTTGTGGCGCTAGGGTAATGATGATGATGACACATTGACTGGATTAGTATTTTCGCATCCACTATAGTGACCACAATAATGTTGATTTTTTCACTGCAGTTACTATGATAGTATTATCGCGGCGACTGTTGTGACAATGCAGTCATATTTTCGTCTCTGAGCTCTATTTTATTTATAGTAACATTATAGGAAAAACCCCTTTAAAATTTCTCAGTATTTATATGCATAGGAAAACGTTTCTACCAGCGCTGGAGTTTGCTAAAGAAATGGGACTCTTAATAACTCTTCACTGTGGAGAGGTGCGTTTGACTTAGCTTCCCAATTAAAATTTGACTAGCAGGTCTCATATCTGTGGAGCTTTTTCTGATTGGCCTTTTCACTCTTAGTGCTTTTTTAGGTGCCAAACCCCAAAGAAATCAATGAAATGCTAGATTTTCTACCGGAAAGAATTGGCCATGCTTGTTACCTCAAAGAAGAGGAGTGGAAAAAACTGAAGTCCTCTATGATTCCGGTTGGATTGCTTAAGCATTTATGTCTTTGATTATCATACACGTATGTGTACATTGTACACACATTTGTGAATATGCATTCCTCAGATGCATCCATATGATGCTTGATAGTTGATACTGCCATATTCCTTGCTTTCTTATGGTCAGATTGGAATTCAGGAAATGTCAGGGAACAAAAATAGAAAGGGAAACAGAGATGAGAGTTGGAAGGATAGAAAATGTGGGAGAAAATAAAAGATGGACTGAAATTCAATTAATATATTATTAATATTTAGTTATACACTATACTTTTTTAATAGTAAATCTGAATATATGCAGCTCTTGAAAAAGAAAAAAAAATACAAAAAATTACATTTCTTTGCATTTCCCTAGGTATAACCAAACATAAGAATACATCTTTAGCAGAATTCCCTTATCTATAGTTTTTTTACAGGAAACAAACATACCCTTTATATTTTATAACCATAAAAAGCTCATTTTTTCTTGATACCATCAGTACATTTGATATAATGAGAATAAGTTCAAATTGTCTCTTGTGTGATTTTCAGGTTGAAATTTGTTTGACGTCCAACATCACAACTGGAACCATCTCTTCGTTGGATGTTCATCATTTCGGTTAGAAAATCTAATGATACTCTCTTTATACCTTTTGGGTCGCGCAGAATGTGGAAAATGGTAGGCAATCGAAATAGGGAGGAATAACCTTTAGTTAATTATTACTCCTTTGCAGCTGATTTGTACTATTCTAAGCACCCGATCGTGTTGTGTACTGATGATAGTGGTGTTTTCTCTACCACCGCATCTCGTGAATATGACATTGCCTCTTCTGCATTCGGTAGGCCCCACACACCTGTATGTGCAAATAAATGTTTATTTTTATAGGATTATAATACCTTTATTTCTGACTTGGTGTGGTTTTGGTTTTGGCAAAACAAAGGTATAGGAAAAAAAGAGATGTTTGAGCTGGCAAGGAATGCCATATGCTTCATCTTTGCTGATGATGGAGTCAAACGAGAATTGGAACAAATATTTGATTTAGCTGCTGAGAGGCTTCAATTCTGAAGGAAGAGGGGTTTTATTTGGTTAATTAGAATCATTATTGGTTATTGGTTGGTTCGGTTGTTTCAATTTGGTTTGTGGTATGTTGCCTTTTAAGAAGGGTGAAACCTTTAACCATATCATATCCCTCGAGTCATTTTCGGTCACTTTCGGTTGGTTACTTTCGTGCAGTTTGTATTGATTTTAGTTGTTTTAGTCAATTCAGTCCGTTTTAAAGTCAAAATCATAAGCCGTAAACAGAATTGTTCATCCCTAATGTGTGTGTATTGAGTTTTTTCTCTGTAATATTACTGCAATGCAGTTCATGAACAAAAGATCAGGAAAAAATCACTTGTACATGCCATTTTACACATTTTTATGCACGCTCATCCCTAATTGCCCGTGTAGATGGGCAATTTGTTAAAAAAATTTAGAACTTTTAAACTAATTCTCCGTGTGGGCGTGTAAAAAGTGGTGTTTACACGCCTGGTGTGTACCAAAGCATTACTCAATTAATAATGATATGGCTACTATAATCAGTGAAAATATAATTGTGATTTTTGCAGTGAAAAAATGAATAGCAGTATAGCACTATGATCCCAATATCGGGTGTAATATCATTTGTCAAAACACATTAAAAGTGACATTTTTTTTATTTTCTTAGACATATATTCTCTTTAAAATCATTGTCTTATGAAAAGCTCTCAGTGTGTAGGTAAACAGCTAGTTTGGAATTGCTTCAATCACGATGCAAAACACAAAGTCAAAAAGAAAGATGAATTTTAGTACATTATACTAGGGAAAAGATACTTTGGCTGCAAGGAAGAATGGTTCTGATTGAAGGAAATATAATGGTGTCCCTATTGAGGAAAATCAGCACGCCTTTAACTTCTCACATCATTAGGAGCTAAAGAGAGCACTCATCTACAAGAATCCTTTCATAGTTTTTCTTTACACATAGGAAAATGTTCTTCAGATCCTGTAGAAGGTTACAAGACGGTCCGGTTGATGTTGGTTCACAGGGGACGATAGGATCACTCTTAAACAGAGAAATTGAACATTTGACAAGGCCTAAATCGGAGCACTCAAGTGAGTCAATGACCTCGACAAAGTCTAAAACTCATTCTTCATGGCCCGGTTTCATTTTCGTGATGCTGAAATGGAAAAAGAAGAAGAGAAGGGCAAGTGGAGGAGGATTACTACTAGGTGTTTGCTCTCTGGTGGATAATGTCTCTGCGGATAGGCATATGTTGAATGAAATCCAAAGGTTTAGTTATGTGAATCTTAAGGCTGATTCCAACCAGATTTGAATATTTTGCTCTCATCAGCTTTCTCTTATTTTATTATATATCTCATCAGATTCAGACATTGTCAACATCATATTTTAATACTACATCAATTCGATGTCGTTTTTTTTTTGTCTGTGTCTGATCTCGTTTGATGATGCTAACATCTTCAAAATAGGATCCATAATTTGCAGATTGGGAAAAAACTGCGAGAGTTTTAGAAAAATAATTTGGTATCCTTCTATGCCATGGTATCTCAAACATAATGATGGTTTTTATTTTACTCCGGGGGGTCTGGGGGAGGGAGCCTGGAGTAATCAGGGCTGAAACTCAATTCATTAAGTTTCGAACCCTTATATGCCTAGCGGGTTTCGAACTCGAGACCTCTCACTAGGCACGATAACCTCACAACCAGCTGGGCTGGAATGCTTGGTGAAGTCCATAAAATCTTACATACCAAACACCCATATATCGAAGCCAAGCCTTGGGATTACTAGTTTAGAAATGGATGGCTATGATACCATTTAGAAATCGACCCAACACTTGTCCTCAAACTGAAGTGTCTGTTACATTATATATTTACTCATAGTGATGTTTGGGCTTTTGCAATGCAATGACCAGTTGTATATATTCTTATATTTAGTATAACAAACTGAAGAAGTACCTCTAGGCAAGAAAAATGTAAATTCACACGCATATATTATCATTATAGTCACTCCATGTGCTTTCTACTTGAATTTTCACATCATAGGATTTTGTGTTAGGACTGTCTTGAAGTTCATCAGTTAGTTTGTTAGTTAATCTTTCACACAAAAGTTACCAACAATCCCTTTTCGTATTACATAGTTGTGTAAGTGTTTTTGCCTTTCTGAATGAGTATGCAATCTGCTTCATCTACTTCTGTCGTTCTATTCCATTCCTCGTCAGGCGTTGCTAAGTACTCAAGCGCACTGACAACGTCCGCAATCAAAGGTCGTGTATTAGCTTCATCTTGAAGACACATCGATGCAATTGCAAGAGCTTGGTACATGCCTTTTGTTGGGTAATTCCCTACAAGCATAGGGTCTGCCAACATTTTGAATTTCTCTCTGTCATTCAAAAGTGGTTTTGCCTGCAAAGTGACAGAAAATAATAAACTTGAAAGACTTGTGGTCCGACAATTTTAAATCACAGAACCAACAAATAAATTATAACAAAGACTAACCCAAGAAACAAGGTTCTGTTCCTCATTTTGTCTAGTATTATCAATAACTCTCCTTCCCGAAATAATCTCTAGTAAGACAACCCCAAAGCTGTAAACATCAGATTTGGTTGTAAGTCGTCCCCCAACATTAGCGTACTCTGGCGCACAATACCCATAGGTCCCCATTATCCTTGTGAACACGTGATCTTGTTCTTCGTTTGGACTTAGTTTCGCGAGACCAAAACCTGATAGCTTTGAATTGAAAGACTTGTCCAATAACACATTTGATGTTTTGAAGTCGCGATAGATAATTGGAGGATTAACTGTGTCATGAAGGTATTCTAGCCCTTGGGCCGCACCTTTGGCTATTTGCATCCTCGTATACCAATCGAGAGGGTTCTTATTTGGAGACAAATCTGAGAAGCAGATATCATTATCATTACAACACTGCATGCAAACTACTCATAACCAACACATAAAGATTTGAGTTACTACTCTTAATATGGCATGTTAAGGAGCATATGAAAATATGCATGGATACCGAAAAGATGATCTTGCAAAGAGCCGTTGTGCATAAACTCGTACACTAAAAGTCTTTGATTCCCATCAGCACAATACCCAATTAGGTTCACAAGATTTGGGTGGTGAACAAGACTTAAAGTCAAGAGCTCAGCTAGGAATTCCCTATTTCCATGAATTCCATTCCTGTCCAGCTGCTTTACTGCGACAATCTGCACACATACATGCGAGGCAAGTAGTCAAGAAGAACACATAAGGAAATAATGAACACTCAAAACTCGTTTGGTAACATTGTAATTGGCTGGACTACTGAATCTACTGAAGTTGATGAAATTTTGACTGTAATGGCTATGGCTAAACTGACTGAATATACTGAATTATGGAAATATTAAATAAAGAATAGTTAAAATGAGATTATGTTAATCCAAAAGTTACGCGTGTAGTAAAAAATGAGTGATAAGCTCAAAATGGGATTACTTGATTAGTTCTTCTTATATGTCCTTTGTATACCCTCCCAAACCCTCCTTCTCCCACCAGCAACTCCGGGTTGAAGTTGTCTGTTGCTTTGGCCAGTTCGTGAAATGTGAATAGTTCTGCTGCAACTTTCATCTCTCCAAACCGAAGAATGTCTTCAGCTATCATTTTTTTCTTGCTCACCCCTGCACCTTTCATTCATCACATACATCTTTATTTTTGTTAGTTCATCAAATCAAACAAACTTACTAGAGTTAATCTTCATCAACAACTATACCCAAAAAACTCCTATGTACAAAGTATACAACAGAAAGGAAGGACATTCTTACAAAAGAGTGACCAAACTACAACTCATATAGTTTTGGACAAGAATAAGACTAGTTTTGGACAAAAAGAGGAAATTTAAATAAACTATACAATGATTTGTCATATTTTGAAAAAATGAAAATTATTCGTTATTTAGATTTAAAAAATCCTAGAGCTAATATTTTTGTCCCTTTTTCGTTGAAAATGGGATGGGATTATAAGAAAGCAAATGCATAAAATGGAATACTGTGTGTTCCTGTAAATTTAATTAGAGAGTTACTTAATTTAAAAAACAAATATATGTAACCTGATCTCATAGAAATGCTTCTCGCAATAGAAGAAATGGCTGAATCATCATATCGACTAGAAGTCCCTGCCTCATTCACAGAACTTTTAGAATTTTTCAGGGGATTCCTCCTCATTTTTTATTGGTCTGAATTAATGAGAAATCCTGCATCAATAATAACATCAAATTAATAATCTCGTATCTAATCCGCTTTCCATTTCATTATATATTCCAGAAAGACAAAAGCTTGAAGATGATCTTAATTCATTGCTATGAGATACTTAAAGCCATAAGAAAAGATAAATACATGCATTCCAGATGGCCTTTACAATTAGGGGGAGTTGAAGAAATTTGTTGGTATTCAAATGTAGATTGAAGTTCCAAAAAAGAATGTCATCGAAGAAATTTATAAATAATTATTCAAAACAATGCTCTTTTCATGCATGCTAATAAAAAAGTTACACACAAAATCAATTAATTCGAGAAAAGGATAGATAAGTTTGTTATTTAGTACGGAGTAATAGAGAAAATAAAGATTATTTGTTGTGAAGGTTTTTTACCGCGACAATTTACTCACCCAGATATTTACTTTTTTTTGTATCTAATTGTTGGACCAAAGCCTTTTCTACTCCACCAATTTTGAAGCTTACTCTTGCCACGTATATTCATGAAGGGTATGTTTGGGAGTTTGTAAGAGGTGAGGAATGTTTTAATGGTCAGGGAAGAGGAAGGAAAGAGTTGGAAACCGAGTAACAAGTTTGAAAAGATAAAAGTTTTGGATGAATATAAATATAATTAAAACGAATTCAAATAAGTGTGTTTACGTTTATTTGAAATTAAGCTAAAATTGTAATTTAATTAGTTATCCTTCAAATTATCTCAATTTGGGGGAACTTGAAGTTGAGCATTTGAACGATTTTGGAGGGTTACAAAAGCCATCCAAAACATCACCTCCTATCTTTTAACTCTCAAACAAGAAAGAAATGTTATAAATCTTTGTCAACCACAGTCTTTCCTCGAAAACCCAACTCTCAAACATACAGTACCATACAAACACGGACATGGTTAAAAAAATGAAGTCATGAACACTAATCCCAAATGTAGTAAAGTACTACTACGTACTACATACATCTCGTTTAAAATTTTTGTCCACTATCTTCCACCTAAATTGTTTGAGTGTTTTATTTTATGTGGAGTATATCTAATTTTTATCAAATTTGATTTTTGATATGGATCAGTTAACTTTATGGTCTGTCAAACATTGTAATTTGCAGGGGCGGCCCTAGGGGAGGTGCAGCAGGGGCGGGCGCCCAAGGCCCAAAAAAAGTGTAAAAAAATTAGGCCCAGTCTTAAGGCTTTATATTAAGAGTGAGTAGGCTGAGTTTTTACGCTATATCCACTAATTTCATGCGGCATAGCTAGAGAAAAGATATTTGAAGGCGTAAACAATTTTTCTGAAAAAAAGGACTCTCTGTATGGCCAGTGTCTATCACTGAATCGTCATTTAGGCTCTCACTTCTTCAAAGTTCAAACCTCAATATTCTGATTCCTCATTATAAAATACTATCAGTCAATACTCAAGTGGATACATCAACTTCTTGAGCCTTTTATCCTTCATAATCTGAACATAGGATGCTAACTTTTGATAACCTCGAGTCCTCTATATCTTTCATTACTCTTATGTTCTTGTATATTTTACATTTATGCTCTTACTTATTTCAAGATCAGTTATCATAGTTTTTCACTTTTTTTTTATTTTCATTGAATTTACATTTTCGTTGATTAGTCACCTAGTTTTTGACTAATTGATCGTGAAATCGCAAATTCAGATTTATAATTTATCTGTCCCGATTTCAGTTGCAATTTTTGAATTTTAATATTGACTGATGATAAAATTAAATCATCTCGTGATAGTTTTAAATTTTCTTCAGTAAAAAAATGGATTTTCATTAAATTTATAAATATAATAAATTTCAAGGTGTAACAGAAATGTTCTCTAAGTGTAATTTTACTTTCTTAATACAACGAATTATAAAAGTCTTTCCTTTATTATACAATTTTTGAAGTATTATTGTTATGCATTAGTTTAGACAAAAAAATTAAAAGTTAGGCTCATTATAAACTATTTGCCCCTAGGCCTTGAAACTATCAGGGCTGTCACGCCCCGGACCTACCGGCCACGTCGACAACCCGCCGTACAGTACGAATAGTCAACCGCAGTCCAACTCATCCATACGATACCAGGCGTCTTGAATACCATTTACACATAGTACATCCATAAACAAACATAATGTAAAATATTCATTTAAGCAGCGGAAACATTAATACAAGTGCTCAAGCCACACTTGGCAAACATGGGCATACAAGCCTCAAATAATTATTCAGAAAAATAATATTCATGAGCATTAATAGAAGTGTTTTTAAAACAGGAATGGGAGAAGCACGAACCACGTCTCCTCTCCTTGGATCTTCCCGAGCAACGGGCAATGGTAGCAACCTTCAAGTTCTATCTGACACTGTGAGGTGGCCTCCCCCATGAAAGGAAGGTCAGTACTTGGAAGCATTTGAAAAGTACAATGACAACTATACTAAGTATAATCAACGATTCAATTTCTAAGACCCTCAAATAGAGTGATATCATAATATAATGATATTTCTTATTCAATTCTTATTATCTTTATAATAAGTTAATTTATTAATTTGTCGGCACGTGGGCCCCTTTTTTATATTCCATTTCATTCATCGTTTGCACGATACCGCCCGTAGGCCTTATCATTTATACGAGACTCGTCACCGCTGCTCGAGGCCTCATCGGGCCCTCAGGTCGGAGTCCAACATCCCGCCCATGGGCTCGTACCCATCATCCCGTAGGAAGGTAAGGCCCATTCGGGGTCCTATCTTATGTGTTACCGCTGCCGGAACGCGGTTAAGTCTCCGGTTCGGATTCCACCCATCTTATATCATGTGGTACCGTTGCCGGAGCCTCGTGAGGTCCCCGGTTCGGATTCCATCCTAACCGGTCCTATTATATGTGTTACCGCTGCTAGAGCCTTATGAGGTCTCGGGTTCGGATTCCACCCAAAACGGTCCTATTTTTATGTGTTACCGCTGCCAGAGCCTCGTGAGGTCTCGAGTTCGGATTCCACCCTAACTCGTGATCACGATGCAAGTCCATGCTGCCCAACCCCGCTCTCTAGAGTCGGGAAGGGTCATGGTCCTTACTTATTAATTACTATAATCTAATCGGCTACCCTTAAGGACTACCGAATACACCCATAGGCAAATCCTATACCTAGGATCAATTTATTATTCACTTTACCTTGGGTATCCTTTAGGCCTACCCCTAGTATAACTTAAAGTTCATACATATTCACCTTAGCATCTCTTAAGACTATTTAAGGTTCACTATTTCACAATCCAACCTTAGGATTAATTATAGCATAATCTCATTCCAATACCCCGACTAGTATCTTAATACTAGTCGAATAATTTCCAACTATTCAAGTTTTCAACTCTTAGTCATATAGACATTTCCAAACTGATTTACCTTTGAAAATTGTAGTTCATAGCAAGATACAAACTATAACTTTTATTCACTCTCATATTCTTATATGAAGTAAAAAGTATATTTCAATATAAAGTTCATAGTTAATTCCATTATCAAACCTTCATACTCATATCACATAATCATACACAATTTATCCTTAAATTTGTATATCATGCTCCTTTCTTAATTGACAATAGTCCTTTATTTTTAGGCATTATTAATCATTAATAATCCATAAAAATACATTTAATTACCTTAGGTAATCTCATGAAATTAACTCACTAATTATAAGCAATATAGTCAGTCATCCTCACCTTACGAAGTGCTGAAATAGTTGCCTTTGTTAAGCCCTTCGATCAATCCCCGTTCTAAACCGATTAGAAGTGAAAAATCTGGACATCAGACGAAAGCCGGCCGGCTTTTGCAAAAGGTCGGCGGCTTTCGTGGTCTGCAGCTACGAACAGCTTCCTTTAAGTGGCGGTTTCCGGTGATTTCAACTCCTATCGATTACACGACTCTTCTAAGTTAAATACCACCACTTTATAACATTATTCTACACTTTTAAACGTGTAGAACTTCATGTTTAATCCACCATATGATTTCTCAAAAATCATACAAAGATAATATTAGTTAAAGAACTATATGAGTTCTTACCTTCCTTCTAGCTACATTTCCCTTGGGATTTCCTTGCTCTTTGCTTCTTCCAAGCTAGTTGTTGGTGAGAGATATTTCAGAGCTCTTTCTTGGCCTTTGGTTTGTGTGTATGGCTAAAATGAAAGGAAGAGTTATCCTCACTCCAATCACTCTTCCAAATAGTGCATGAATGAGACATGGGTGTGGCTTTGTCTCTAAGAGACTTCCCCCCTTGTTTCCATCCGCCCCATATCATTCATCTTTGTCCCATTCCCAATTATTTGGGTCAAATTGGCTTAAATAGCATCCCCAAGTGGGTGTAGAATGTCTCTCCCAATTATTCCTGCCATTTTTGGCAGGTTGGGCCAAAATTGCATTCGGGTTGTCCAAATATTTTTATCAACTCCAGTTGGCATTTTATTGGGATTCTATAATTATCACGATAACCCAACTAAATATTTTGTAGCCCATTGTCATTATTATGGACCCGATAAATAATTTAATTAATCACGCATAATTAAATAGGTCACTCCGTTACACGAATTTATTCGCTAGGAAATTCAAATACATATCAAATTTCGAATTCAAGTGCATCCGGGTGCGGTGTCACAAGGGCTGCCCTTGGTAATTTGTAAACCGCTTGAGAACTTTTAAGTGAGATGGGGGTAATAAAAAGTAAGTCATTAACATAGATTATATGAAGGTAAAACTCAAATATACATTAAGAGAAATTGAAATATGCAGAATAAAAGGTACAAAAATGTCACTCAATCATATCCTTTATTCTACACATTTCAGTTTCACATAATGCACAATTTAGCTTCTTGTAATAGCATTGTGTCGTACATCTTGTGATGCATATTTCAATTTCACCTAATACACAATTCAATTTCACATAATGTACATTCAATTGCACATAAAATAATGCAACGATCCACATTCGTTCTCATTTCTCTCCTAATATATATGTGTATTTTTTCATAAAAAGTACTACATATAATCTTTTTTGTACTCCTCTGCCCCTTGAAACTTTGCCAACTTTTATTTTTTGATTATCCCACTATCTTTGTCACTCTCCTTTCTAAGTAAAGAATTTGTGTTACTTGTTAATTCTTTCTCTTCTGCACAAAACTCAATCACACAATTTTACTTAACTAATCACCGTGCAGGTCAAACTTGGTCAAGTTTTAAGAGAAGGAGACAGTATAATGCAAGTTTGCGAGTCAGTATTTTTTAGGCTTGGGACCAGTTTGGTTCCTAGAAAAAATAGATGAAACCGTTGGAAAAATATCAAATCTTAATAACGGTTCAGTTCTTATAATTTTTTATAGAACCGATATGGATTGAACCATTCTAACTGTTCGGTTCTTGTCATTTAACGATTCCTAGTCTTTAAAAAAATTCTTACAAATCACCATTTAGTTTGTGCCAAAAAACATTCAACATTTGAATTTATAAGAAATACAAATATATTTACCACCATTTCAAATCTCAAAAATTTAGTTTAAAACATAAATACATACCAAACTGAAAATTTTAATAAACAAAACAATATATCACTCCTCCTCCTCCTCCTCCTCCTCATCATCATCACTTCAGTGCCGCAAAGGCTCCCATCTACGACGGGGTAAGGGGTCAAAGGTACGCAACCTTACCCATGTCTTAAAGTACAAAGATACTGCTTCCGGGTGATCCAAAGTGAAAATCGCGTCGAAAATTGGATAGACCGACTGCTACTTTATAACAAAGAAGCGTAGAACATGTGACCTCCTTGTCATCGAACCCAAAAAAAAAAACCGTAGAAAATTTAGTGAACCATTTTGATTTATTCCATCATATTCCCAAACCAAAAATAATGAGTCTTTGGCTCCATTGCAAATGATGAAAAACAATCAATAATTATGATCTTGAATCAGGAACGTAATTAGCCAGCAAAAAAGTTCGTTCATCTCAAATGGTCATGGGCAGAGTATTCAATTCCGACCATCTGGGCCTCTAATAAGAGGCTCAGAGTCTTAGAGAAACCCGTTAAAATAAATAATAATGTTACATGCTAAAGTACATTAAGTAAAATAGTTAGTGTAGTGTAAAAATAAATAAGTAAATATACAGTAAATACATTATGTAAAATAGTTAGGGCATGTTTACTTTTTTTTCTTAAGTCCTGTCTGGATTAAGACGTCTGTCTGTATTAAGACGTCTGTCTGGAATAAGTGACACTAGTATAACAAGCTGTTTACTATGTGTGCTGAATGTATAGTCTGAATTATGTCATTTTACCAATACATCCTTCTGCAGGTAAGAAGTGTTGAATCTATATGTAAGGAATAAATGTAATTAGATTTTGATGATGCTAGGATAATTAGATTAGAATTTTTGAGTACCCCTACTTAGATTTTATGTATTAGAATTTTCAGTTGTAAGTATTAGCATAGTCGACAATCAGAGTTGCTATGTGGATCTGATCAGAGCTGCTCTATGAGAAATGCTTTCAGAGTCGCTCTCGGAAGTCATGAGAGTTGCTCATCAGAGAAGCATCAGAGTTGCTCTTCAGAGACTCATCAGAAGTCTACATCAGAAAGCCATCAGAGTTCGATGAAAAAGTTCCATCAGAATTCAACTTCTGAGAAGTATCGGAGTTCCCTATCCAAGTTCATCAGAATCCAAGGTCAGAATGCCATCAGAGAATCTCATCAGACCTGGATAAACACTTAAAAGAATTTCAAGGCTACCTTCAACGGCTGTGAAATTAACAGGGAATCCCCTAACGGCTAGAAGACTGTGCATGAAAGGAAAGCGTTTAATGCACAATAAATGAGCCTGATACGCTGTGGAGTAATTGCAAATGATTGACCGAAGAATATGGAGGATATATTATAAAAATAGAAACCTTCCAAATTGGTGGGTCAACTCCACAGTACGCGCATTTAATGCAGTTGTCTCCTCCTCCAACGGGTAGACAATTCCCAGTATAAAAGATACTCGATGAAGAACAACCAAACAACCTTGCTACAACTTTTGCTCTCTTAATACTACAAGCATTCTTGAGATTCAAACTCCATAATCATCCACAAGAAAAAGCTTACGTTGGGAAGATCCAAACTCACAAAATCTCTCAACCCCAACAAGAGCAAAGTTCATCCTGTTCTTCAACCTTCAAGAACTTCAACTACATATCTTTTGTAACGAAGCAAGTTGGAGAAAACTCTTTTCAGAAGTTCTTCTGCAAACAAGGACGTCCGAGTAACTGCAGTAGCGAAGTGGTGATACTTCTGGGAAGCTGAGTGAAAAGACCAGTCATCAGGAAGCAGGACTGCATCCCGGGTGACAATTAGACTTGAAGAAGGCGTGGAGAACTTCTTAAGTGCTAGGGACTAAGCTTTGTAACCGTTTATCTCAAAGCTAGTGGAACAGTGGACTAGAGGAACGCGTTGTTCCTTGAACCACTATAAAAATCCCCGGTGTCATTTACTTTACTGCATTTATTTTCTGCAAACAAGATTTTAACTGTTTAACTCTAAGACTTGGAATCTGTGTTCAGCAGATCTTGTTTTCAGAGTTATCAGAAAGGCATTTGCCTTAGTATTTTTGAGGCTACCCGGAACTCTTATCCGCTGCAAAACCCAGTTCTGATCCTCAGAACTCGACCCTCTCTGATAAGTCAACTCTGACTTAGAGAAAAGTTGAAAAACTTATAACAGTCTATTCACCCCCCCTCTAGACTGTTACCTACTTAAACGGGACCAACACTATATTATCTTTTTACTGATTTTGTATTTACAATCTTGGAAAAGCTAAAATTAGTAGTTGCTCCCTTTCCTCGGTCAACACCTTAAATTCTCCAAAAAACATCAACACCTTAACCAAACTAGCTTTTTCCAAGTAATTTTAATTTCAAAATCTTAAACACTATCCAAATTCTAGTTCCACGAAGGAGAGAGCATGTCCGGCCCTATTTTACAAAGCAGAGAGCATTTTACAAAGAAGAGAGCACTATATATCCAATTACTTTACAGCCCTATTTTACCAGAAGCTTACTATGTTCCAACATCCAGATTCGTAAGTGATTCGTAGCCCTATTATACCGTATCAAATTCGAATGGATTCGTAATGCGAATGCAAAAATTACAAAATAATTAACACCCAGAAATAGAATAATGTCTGAGCGAATAAGTCATGGTTTTCATTAAGTCACAAGTAAACAACACTATATGGCTGAGCGAATAAGTCCTGACTTCCATTAAGCTCATTAGTGCAGTTCGAGTCAGGACGTCCTGACTAGAACCCCCGTGCGGACAAGGTCATCAGATGGTCTTCCCGGTGAAATTTTTTGAGCATGTTTCTCATCAAGTCTAGTTATTCATATGAAATTTCAGCTCAAAATTCGATCGATAAGAAAGTTAAATAAATTCTGGAAACATACTGCGCATTTTGTGTATATATAAAGCACAATATGTTTCAATAATTTGTTTAACTGTCTTAATGAGGAACACACTCAAAATAATTTATCAAACATTCCACCGGGAAGGCCCTCTGATGGCCTTGTCCGCACGGGGTTCCGGTGAGGATGTCCTGACAAGAACGGGACTCTACATTAAAATATGTGTATTGATAACAAATATATAAAATTTTAATTACGAGTATTATATATAACAGTTCCTTAACAGTTCAATGTACATATTTTTGTAAGAATCGAGAACCGAACCATTAAAAAAAATAGAAACCGAACAATTATCAAGTAACTAACAAATGTTGAAAGCGAACTAAATCGAATCATAACGGTTCGGACCGGTTCGATTCTCCGGTTCCTGATTCCAAAGTTTCTCCCTAGTATTTCTCCCTAGTAACTATATACCCTGTTTATATATATATCGTATACAAAACATGTTTCCCGTACAAAATGCAAAATCATCTCACCCGTCCAATATTAAGAAATTAAGGGTAAGATTTTGTTTAAGCACCAATACTTAACCGTATTAATTACTGGGAGAGTTTTTCTCCTCTTGATATTAACCGTATTAATATCATCCCACCATTTGTGGGATTGGTTTCCAATCATGGCCGTTACCTTTTTAATATCAATGGCTATGATTAGTTTGTATTTTGTAAATTATGATCAGTTTGTATGTGATCCTAAATCTATATATATATATATATATATATATATACACGCATATATATATATATATATATATATAGGTTTTGGTTCAAATAAGAACATGATCTTATGAGAAAAATGAAAACGAATCTGGACCGTTAGATTTGTTTTATGTGAAATTCAATGTGCATTAGATGAAGCTGTAATGTGTATTAGGTGAAATTGAAATGTGCAGCACAAAGGGTAAAATGTAGTGACATTATGTGAAGCTAAATTGTGCATTAGGTGAACTTCAAATGTGCACTAGATGAAACTAAAATGTGCAGAATAAAATGTACGATGTGATGTTATTTTTGTACCTTTTATTCTGCACATTTCAGTTTCACCTTATGCACATGTGAGTTTAAATGTTTATTTGCACATTTCAATATCATCTAATGCACATTTCGGTTTCACCAAATGCACAATTCAGTTCCACATAATTCAATCCAATGGTCCAGATTCGTTCTCATTTTTCTCCTAAGATCCGTTCTTATTGGAACCGCTCCATATATATATATATATATATAGAGAGAGAGAGAGAGAGAGAGAGAGAGAGAGAGAGAGGACTGCTCAGGTCCCTCTGGAGGGACGGGAGCAGCCGTCTGAACTTCACTGTTTGGGGAGGTTCCCGGTAGAATTTTTCGATGAAATTTTTTGAGCATGTTCCTCATCAAGTCTAGTTTGTCCATACCAAATTTCAGATCAAAATTCGATCGGGAAGGCAGTCAAATAAATTCGTGAAACTTACTGCACTTTATATATGTGCAGAATGTGCAGTAAGCTTCAAGAATTTATTTGACTGCCTTCCCGGTCGAATTTTGAGCTGAAATTTGGTATGGACAAACTAGACTTGATGAGGAACATGCTCAAAAAAATTCATCGAAAAATTCCACCGGGAACCGCCCCAAATAATGAAGTTCGGACGGCTGCTCCCGTCCCTCCGGAGGGACCTGAGCATTTCTGTATATATATATATACTCCCTCCGTCCCCTTTTAAATGCCCCGTTTTACCATATTGGGATGTCCCTATTTAATTGCCCCATACCTTATTTGGTAAACTTTGTGTGGCTCAAAATCATTCTTACTTTATTCTTACTTTATCAATTAATATCAACCACACAAACTCACTTTTCTTAAAACTCGTGCCACCATCTCCCGTCCCATTTAAAAGGGGACGGAGGGAGTATATTCCAGTTCATGCCTATAAGACTCGACCCGGGCGAGCCGGTACCGGACCTCCAGTTCCCAAACTCAATCCCACCCATAGTCCGACCCGGACACGGTCCATCCTTGATCTACTCAGATGAAGTTGGTCATGAGATATTCTTTGCCCGAACCTGGTATCCACGTTTTCCGTGCACTTGTACAAAACTTGGTAAGAGGAAAAGCAATTGCGTATGGACTCCGAGAACTTGGTAGACAGGGAACATAAAATATTCGAATCGGACGAAAGTTCCGAGAGTAGCTCAGCCACCGTCTGCCTCCGGCATTAGGTGAGAGATTCAGAAACAAGCAAGGCAGCAGTATCATCTATTACCCCATAGCTGATTGCTCTCTCTCTCTTCTTTGTTTTCTCCGTTTCCTTGATTTTTGACCTCTACAGCTGAAAGGGGAAAGGAAAAGGCAGATATGAGAAAACTGGTTCTGAAGTCTCTGGCCGGCAGCGTTTCATCGGTGACGCCGAACTGGTGGAATAAGATCAACGGATCAGTTGAATGGCAAGATGGGATCTTTTACTCTCTATGTGCTACGTATGCCCTCGTATCTGTCGTTGCCCTTGTATGTATCTACTACACTAACTGCTCAATCCACTAACATTTTATTCATGCTCAATCCACTATCTACTAACTGCTGGTTGAAGAACAGTCATTACCTGCGAATTTTGTCAATTAATAACTTGTGTTGAATTGGGATTTAGCTGTTTTTCTTGCATTTGATGGGTTCAATTACTTTATATGTGTTTTAGTTCAAGATATAGCTTTCTCCTGCTGTTACACCATAAGTTATGCTGTACTTTTAAAGTGTGTTTGTTGGCAAAGTACCCAGTTTTCTTCACATTGAGACAAGAAATGGAAAATCCCACACCAAATATTACTTCCGCATTAGCTAGCTTAATTTTTATCCTTTTTGTATTTGCTACTAGATTGGGCTTGTTTACTTTCATATTATAAAATTTTTTATTAGGCGAAAAACTGTTCACATGAGATTCGTCTGAAGAAAGAAAATATCTGTTTTTTGTGAGGGCATGTATGGTAGAAATATTTTGGGTTCAAGGGAATGCGATGACTGAAATATTTTTTTTGTAATTATGTTTACGTTTTGAAGGTAGAAAGTGAAGTGAAGATAAAAAAACTGTATAGACATACATGATCTAATTTACTATACAATCCATAGTTATTTTTAATCTAAGTCTAAGAAATACAGATAATTGCGAAATTTAAATCAATCCTTTCCCTTTGTTCCCAAATCCCAAAACCAAACAAACCCTAAGATTGCTTCTTGGGATTGCACAGTTGCTTTTCATTGTGAAGTCCATTTGATTTGGATTTTGCATATAGTTTTACAATTATTTGGGTGTTCCAAACATAGCTTTAGCGTTAATCTCTGAATGAATATTTGAGTTCATTGTGCAGATTCAACTGATAAGAATTCAGATGAGAGTGCCCGGGTATGGATGGACAATACAAAAGGTTTTTCATCTCATGAACTGCATCGTAAATGGAGGTGAAGTATAGCGTTAACATATTTTGACCTATTCTATTGCTCTAGTTTAATTTTTGTCTTTATGTTTCAGTCCGTGCTGTTGTCTTCGGTTTTCACAAAAAAGCATTTCTTTTCCATCCCAAGGTAATTGACCCCCCCCCACAAAAGATCTCTCAAAATTTCTATACAATTAATATTGATGTTATCTTTTCTTTTTATCAAGTCATTGGGTACTTCATAGCATATATTCCCTACATTAGTCATACTTAATCATGTTCTTGGTTTAACCAAGGAAGGAATATGATTTTGTATTCAAGTTACATATAACATAGCTTTCCAATTTTAAATAATGTTTCTTTATGATAGGAAAAGAGTTGGACATTCCTGGCATGAATACTCCATAACTTTGTCTATTTGACTTACTATTTCAATCAGGTGCTAACTATTGCACTATTAGACGTTCCTGGATTGCTTTTCTTCTCCACATATACACTTCTGGTCCTGTTTTGGGCTGAGATCTATCACCAGGCTAGAAGTTTGCCAACTGATAAGCTCAAAACCTTTTATGTATCAATAAATGCTGGAATATACGTCATACAGTCTGGTATATGGGTGTATCTCTGGTTTAATGATAATAGTGCCATGCGTGTAATTGGGAATATCTTTATAGCAGGTATGTTTTTACAGTTTTTTACACCACTTTTTGTGTCTTGCTAGTTGCTTGATATATTTGTTTCGTACCTTTTTACCATGTGCAGTTGTTTCATCAGTTGCAGCATTGGGGTTTTTGCTCTATGGGGGAAGGTGAGTAACTGGAGCAGCCTTTCAGAGTCACATTTTTTATCGTATTGGGGGTTTAAGATCAGTTATTACTTATATAATAATCAATTTGTTCCTCTGGGTTTAATTTGTTGGTGGTGTAAGGCTTTTTTTCATGTTGAGACGCTTCCCTATTGAATCCAAAGGAAGAAGAAAGAAGCTTCATGAGGTTTGTCCACATACAGTCACATTTATTATATAATTATATTGCATATTTGCATGACTGCTATGGAAATCTCATTAATGGCATTGGTTTAATATGTTATGTCATTCACATTGTTCAAAACTTCAAATATAAAAATACAAACAAATCTATGGGCTAGTTTATCTAGGACATGACTCCAAATAGTAAAATGGGATTAAGCTTCAACTAGCAATTCAATTTTGGTAAGTCAGCATGAAATCTCAAGTCTAAATATGGTGTCGGATATTCAGATATAATTAAGTAGAAACATGCCATAGTCTTAATATGGTATCAAGGTACATTACTAAGCTTAAATTAGCAACTGATTCTACCAAGGCTTCAAAAGAGTTCATGGATTTTCAAGATCAGTCTGCTTTTGTAAATCACTGTCTTGCGGGAATGTGAGGCTTCTTGTTTTGCCCAAATGTAAACATTCAAAGACATCAACTACTCTTCATATAAGGTTGTGCTTTTAGAACAAAACATCAATTTAATATAATATTGAAATTGCCCTATATTAAATTATATCCCCCAATGTTCATAATTACGGGATCACCGCCACCGTGTGTTTTGATAAATGATTTGTAGGTTGGATCTGTGACAGCCATATGTTTTACCTGTTTTGTGATAAGATGCTTTGTGGTAAGGCTTCAAACATAGTCTAATTTTCTTCTTCTCGGCATAACCTTTTAATTCTTTCTAATATTCCATTATTCCCTAAGTTGCATTTAATCAATTTTTGTTGAATGAATATTTTTTATTAGTCTCAAGCTTTCCTCTTAATCTTGCCATGGCAGGTTGTGTTGTCTACATTTGACTCTGATGCATCACTTGATGTTCTGGACCACCCAATGTTGAACTTGATATATTACCTGGTAATTATCCAAATCAGTTGTTCTTCTATGTTCTTCCATATCATATTCACTCTTATCCCTCTGATTTGTGATAGTTGCATTATTTGTGCTGATGATGCTCCTATTATGGATAACTAAATAAATATTCAGGTGGTGGAGATTCTGCCTTCAGCTCTGGTTCTCTATATCCTGCGCAAACTGCCTCCGAAGCGAGTCTCAGCCCAGTACCACCCTATTCGTTAGTCAAAGAGTTGCTGTTGTCTTTTTTGTCTTCTAAAAAACGAAGTGAGATGTGCAACTGTAGAGAAGGAGAATGGTGGTGATGAAGTTGTCTGTTTCGCTGGGAAAAGTTGATCTTGAGCCAATGTGTTCCACTCAGTTCATTTTTTTATATGTTGTAGGGGAATATGTTTGTTGTGAATTGTGATGTATGGAAATATTAGAAGTTAGATGATAGTGTGAATTTAGTGTACTGTTTCTAAGAAGTGGCACCTAGACAAGGCATTATGTACCGTCTTGGGGTGCCAGTTCTTTAATGGATTGTTAAAGTAATCGCCCTTACTAGGAGTAAAATATACTCTGTATTACACATAAACCTTTTCTCTGAATAGGAGTCCATCCTAATTTTTTTCATAAATAGGACTAAAAGTTAATATTCTACCCTTAAGGCCTTAATGCACCTCATCTAATTAATTAATATAATTAATTATTCCGTTAGTTTCCTTGCGTAACCATGTTAGTCTGTTGGTGCCAGTGGCTGGTGCCAGCGGCGGAAGTCCGATGATTGTCAGTGGTGACGGCCAATTCATTTTGTAAATTTTTGGTATATTTCGGACTTCGGGAGTTCCGGTGGCTGGTGATTGGTGGCAACTCTAGCAGGAACTCTGGTGGGGTATCTTTGTCCAAGCAAGAATATTCCTATTTGGAGAATTTTAAAATCTACTCCTCTTTTTGCATTTCCTCTATATCTTACAAGAAAAATGGTTGGTAAAATAACATATAGAAAGGAAATAAATATTGGAGTTCTGTCACTTGTGTGTCGATATATTTACCTCCAGTCCTGCCAATAACTTCAGCAAAATAAGTGAAACACAAGCAGTCAAGCACGAACCAATTTTCAGTCTCTTTGGTAAAAATGGTTTCATCTACATTAATTAGATTGAATTTGCTAAAATTGTTAAAGTAATGGTTGAATAAGTTAAGATGAAAAATATCAATTAATGTATATTTTTACCATTGATGTAATAAAATTTTCAATGCAAGACTGGTAATTTATTAGTCAAGGACCAGAAAACTAAGAGTATATGACCCGAATGACTAAAACCATTCATCTACGTCTTATATTTACGTTCTTTAGATTTGAACCATTTAATATGTTAAAATTCTAATTTCAGCAAAAGAAGATAAATAATTAAATGAAAACATTAACATTAAAGTATAGATTGGAAAGTATATCAGACCTTTGAGCCCTAAATCAATAGTTTTATATTTCAAATCCTTGATTGAAAGCTAACATATTTTTCAATATTGATCAAAAAGTATTAATAAATCAAAAAGTCTATTCTTCAACAACACTCTTAAACTACCCTACTGCTACCACAATCTTACCAACAAGCCCTCCACTTCTTGCAGCTTCAACTGAAAAAAGAACTTGACAAAGCACTTGCCAATCTTCAAGCCTGTTAGGTAACGGGTTTTTGGCAGGTAATCTTGAATTTCCTTGAAGTACAAGTTGTGAGGAATGAATTACTCAAAAGAATAATTAATACATATTTTACTGATAAATAATGAAAGCAAACATAGAAAAAGTTTGAACTAATCCACCTCTACAACTCAAGTATAAAAAAGAACAGTCTAAACGACTAAAACTAACCAATTTAGTGTGCACAATCAAACACATTTTGGTAGCCAAAAAAAGGGGTAACAACGGCCATATATTCTGCCGATGAGAGGTATAAGCAGATTAGGTCAATTAGTGCTACCAAATAGGACCTTAATAGCGAGACAAACTCTCACGAATGAGATAATCTATATTGTTTTCTACCAAACATCCATGTAAAATAACATTTACATAAGCAGGGGGGGGGGGGGTTAAATTCGTACATCAAACTCAGAGACTCTTATGAATGAAATCATTTAATTGTGTTGATCATCTTCTTCCAATGGAGGAGCAGCAAAACGGACATCAGCTGGCCGGGCCATTACGACTGGTTCTTCTGCAAACAATGATCTGATGAAGGAAGGTGTTCTCAATGGTCGACGTCCTGTCATCCGTGGATAAACATCCTCCAGAAAATAGTAAGCATGGCCTGCAATCATACCCTGACCATAACAAACAGTCAAACAGAGTAATTGTAGGTGTGAGTGGATTGAAATCAACAGAAAAACTCACAAATAACTAAAGAAAAAGAAGAGGAAAGGAAGCTCTCCAGCCATATACCAAACAGCACAACAAAAATATGAAGATCTGGAAGATGTTATAATTGTATTTATCTAAGAAAGGGTAACAGCTAGTATTCTATATTTGACATAAACCAAAGCCTATGTAGAAGTAGAAGTAGAAAATCATTAGGATAATTTCAAAGCAGCTAAGTGTATATTGTCACAAACATAAGTACTACATTTGACAAAATTAAAATGCGTAGTAGTATACCAATAGATCCACCCAAGCACTAGCACCAACAAGAACAGAAAAGCCCAAAAGCACCTGCAGCACAAAGAAAAGATCCAACTCATTCATTCATCTATTCATTTTACAGCACAATCACAACACTAAAACAGATGCCTGCATTTATAGTGTATGTGTGAGACTACTTTTGCAAGGATAAACTAAATTAAAATGTGTTCCTCTCTAGACCATAAAACCTAACCAGTAGGCAGTGTATAGTGTATACATTGAAATGTATTAATTTCCAAGCACAAAGTTTAAGAGGTCCAGAATTACAAGAAACAAAGTAAGCATAGCATGACTATAGACAGAAATAACATAAAATTATGTTCAGACATTCAAGGTTTATTTGGAAGAAATTTCTGAACATGCTGAATTTTCTGAAACGAAAAGCATTTGGTAACATAGCATTTGCTCGTTATGATTATTCTGCTGAGTGCAGATAGGCATAATAAGGCCCTTTTGGTCCCAAAACATAGCCTACACAGCTTAAACCTACAGATGTATATTGCTCATGCGGTCTAATACTAGGCGAAAAGGTAAAAGTCGGTAACTGACCCATGGAAGATAAGCAGCCGTGAAAGTAAAGAGACCCAAAAAGCTCATGTGGATGAAGGGATTTTGCTTGCTCCAAACATATACCTAATATTAAATAAAGGTAAACAACACGTGAAGAATTAAAACTGCCTAAAAAGAAAAGCCACAAAATAGCAAGAAGGCATACTTTGATGCAAAACTAAACAACAAAACTCACCATCATAAATGTTAGGGAATTGCTAAGAAAAATGATCTTTGCAAATGATTCCGAGACGTACGGTATCATTCCACCAATAAGAACAATTCCAGTCAACACAGTGGCTCCAAACAAGAGCATGTAAAAGAAATCTGCAGTTTTCCCCCTAAAAGTGTTCTCCTCAAGAAGCTTGCAGTATCGTGCCAGGAAAAACATGTGAAACAAGAAGTCCAAATCTGTTAACAAACAGAGTTAGTACAACATTATGCATAGAAGGTAATGGAGCACTCTTTATACTTGAAAAAATCTTGAACTGCTTTATATTTTAGTAGGATTAATTACTAATTGATCATCAGGGAAGATCATTACCCATTTTCCGGAAGTAGAGAAAGTTAGTAATAAGGCGCCAGAACTGATAATGCTTCACCACCAGTTTAGGATTCAAGTACAAGTTGTAAGGAGATATAATCTGCAAAAAAACAACATCCCCAGCTCCAATTGTAAACTCTAACTATAAATTCAATCTTTTGGGAAAAGGCCACATCACAAAAGCCGAAATACATAAACCGCATGTAAAATAACACCAAATCCAAACACCTTGCCAAAGAAAATTACAACCGAGGCATTTCGTATACAGATAGATTGAGCAAGGCATGGAATAAACCTCTAAGGAACAGCCGATTGTGGTGACTATGGCAGCGGTGAGGTAGGAGCGGGTGATAATTGGCATCTGTTTGTACCATTCTTCAACAGCTTGCGCCATTTTCCTCGAATTATTTCCGTTTTCCCAAATATTACTAACCTCCGGCGAGAAAATTTCAGAAAGTCTTCACAGAAAGCAAGGAAGAATTGCGATTTCAAGAACACAGTATGACTCTCGATGTAATGCACACGGATTAGATGTAAGGAGATCTCAATTCTGCGTATGTTTCTGTATCATAATCATAATCATAAATGAAGATAGAATGTGGGCGGATTAGCTTGAGAAGTAATGAAGGCTTCTTTCGATATGCACGAGAGGCGAAAGCGCGTGAGCACCGAACGAAAAAGAAGAGACTGTGACGAGCATTAACCAATTAGAATACTGCGTGGCGTTAAAACGTAGTGTTGGCAAATTATTGGGTGCAGTGGGAGTACGATATGGACGCTACGCCTAGATTCCGCCCGACATCTTCCAAGTTCCAACCCGTTTCATTTCAATTGTTTTTTGGGGTTTTTCACTTTTTAAAGAGATAGGTAATGGAAGTTTCTCGGATATGTTTCGCACAAATAGTTGAAAAAATACTTTTGTAAGTTTTTTAGTAAATGTTAACATTTAGTGATTGAAAAGGTCTTAAAAAGAAAATGTGTTAACTGTTTGGTAAAAAACTGACCGTTTTATTTAGTTCGGTTTGGTATACAAGCTGTTAAGACTAATTAATACTAAAAGTTACGGGTTTTTTCCAAATTCTACTCCTTGTAACATCTAAAAAAAGATCTTTTAAATTTCGAAAAGCTCTTAAAAATTGTCATGCCAAACAAACAAATAGAAGCTTTTAGAGACTTTTTGAACAGTACAAAAGTTAGAAGTCGGAGACTTATGTCTGCCAAACATGCTCTTGGTCTAAAAATAGAGTATTGTGTATTTCCTCCATAATGTGTACCAAATTAATGATACATTTCCATTTTAGTACTCCCTCCGTCTCATTTTACTTGTCGTATTTTACTTTTTGGATTGTCCTAAAATAAGTCTCACATTTTTCTTTTAAAAAAGAAATATGTAATTCACAACATTCATTTTATTATACTCAAATCTCAATCATAATTTTTATCTTTTCAATCATTTTATTAAAAATTGTGTCAAAATTAAATGAGACACATAAAATGGGACGAGGTAGTAATTTTTATGTGACATGTGTATTTTAACCTTTTTCACATGGATTATTGGAGACATTTATCTCAATCTCTTCATTCTCTTAGATGTTGTGTTCAAATAGTATGTGACAATCAATTTTGGACAAAGGAAATAATAAATAATCTAACATTTGCGGTCTTCTTACAATAGTCCAACTTTATCGTTATTCATGAATAATTCAACTTTTGCATCCCATTTCCATTCGGTAGTCCAACTCTTTTATTCCCCTTTTTATTACTTTGCGAAATTAATAATCCAACCTTTTAGCGATCTTCTTACAATAGTCCAACTTTATCGTTATTCATGAATAATCCAACCTTTGCACCTATCTCCATTTGTTGGTCCTTGACCGGTAGATCGATGACCTGCTATTCCGGGTTTT